CCATGCAGTCTCCATTTGCAAACATTTGTGATGCAAAATGGGTCATTCTGAAAAGCTCAGTGACTTCAAGCGTGGTACTGTGATAGGATGCCACCTTTGCTATAAGACGGTTCATGAAATTTCATCCCTGCTGGATATTCCACGGTCAACTGTAAGTGATATTATTAGAAAGTGGAAGCGTTTAGGAACAACAGCAACTCAGCCCCGAAGTGGAAGACCACGTAAAATCACAGAGCGGGGTCAACGACTGCTAAGGCGCATGGTGCGTAAAAGTCGCCAAAGAGCCAAGAGCCAAGAGTTCCGAACTTACACTGGCATTAATGCTGATGATTAATGGGTTTCCATAGCCGAGCAGCTGCATGCAAACCTTACATCACCAAGTCCAATGCCAAGCGTCGGATGGAGTGGTGTAAAGCGCATCATCACTGGACTGTGGAGCAGTGGAAACGTGTTCTGGGGAGTGACGAATTGCAAGTCGATGTCGAGCTGGTCTGGTGATGCCCAGGAGAACGTTACTGCCTGACTTGCTTTGTGCCAACGTAATTTGGGGTGAGGGGGATAAGGTCATGGGCTGTTTTTCAAGGGTTTGGGCTGGTCCCTATTCCCACAGAAACGTCCAGAAATCTGGGAAGTCTTCTATGAAGAGTGAAGCGTATAGCTGAAGAGGGACCAAACTCATTCATCCATCTCATCAACATTTAAAATAGGTGTTTGATACAATGTTATTCAGCCCTGTCTGTACTAGGCAGGCCGCCGAATACGTTTGTCCATAAGTGATACACAACACATCCCCCACACACACATACAGCATACAGTAATCTGTACATGGAAAACACATCTAGTATTTTTTGGAGCTGACATATCCTAAAGAGTCGGAATCTCAGCTGGCGCACCATACTGTGAGCCTCTTTTACCTGATGTCTAAGATGATCCCTCCAATCGTATATAGAAGAAGTACACAACTGGATATGCAACAGCGAAACGGAGAAGAACACAGATACTCACCATGAAACTTTCCCATGTAATTATAATAATAATAAAGAAATTAGTTTTTGTATTACAAGTTGCTGAAATTGGTTTTAAAATTCAAGAAAATGGTACAATTTCTACTAAAAATCTCATTTAACAATTCCCGAACAGAAATCTGAATATTGGCGAAAACCAGATTCACAATCTTGTTTTCATGTTGTGAACAGATAAAATGTCATATAGACCAGGCTGCCGAAGGATATACTGAACAAAGCCCTCTGTGGAAAACCTTCAGAAGATAAGAAAAAACACGAAGGTTTGGTGTGTGTAATGAATGGAGAATTCTGGTATGACAAATGAAGGTTTTCTGAAATATAATGCCGTTTAAATATTCAACTGAGGGATTTTCTAATCGCCAACCTTTAGGTGAAATTATACGATTGCCAAATAGACACAGGAGAAGAAAATAAAAAGCGAAATGTGGTATTTTCTGTCACACTAGTCTGAAAGAAGACATTGGAACAACAATAGCAAAAACTATAAATAAATTAAAACAGCAGTGAGGATCCGACTCGCACTCCAAGTGCAACTCGGGGTGTACGGGCGGCTGTGGCTCAGGCAAGCGGGTGTCCCCCAATTGAAAGTTGTTGTTCGATCCCCGGCCCTGCTCACGTGTGAGTATCCTTGAGCAAGAATACTGAACCCAAATTGCTCCCGATGCATAGCATCGGTTGTGTGAATGTGATGAATAAAGTTAAGTTTCTGTTCGATGGACTTGCCATCAGGAGTCAATGGTGTGAAGAGTGAATGTGGCACGTAGTGTAAAGGCTTGAAGTGGTCGGAAACTAGAAAGGCGCAAGCAATACAGGCCATGGTACAGGTCCATTACCATTCCATTTACTGCCGTCGGGTCACGCACCAGTACATCATGACAACACCAAATACCGCCACAGACACACCATTCAATGGATATTTGAATCCTGGAGGTGTTTAGAATGTGCTCACCAAATTTGGAGGTGTTCTGATCAATTCCCTAGGAGAAGTTTGTTAAAATACAAAGCCTAGAAATGGCGGCAGAATTTGATATTGAATTCAAAATGGCCGACTTCCTGTTGGGTTTAGGATATGGCTCCAAGAGGCTTTTTTGTACGTCCTGACATGATACATATGCCTACCACTTTTTATACTCATAGATAAAACGTACCATTGGGGCTGCTGAATAGGGGCGCTGTCGAGCCATTTTTTTGCACATCTGTCAGAGACCCATAAATTAGCCAAGTTTCGCCACGACTGACATGTGCGCAGAATTTCAGGACTTTTCTCATATAATAAAGCCTCCAAAAAGCCATTTGAAATGTCTGAAGAATAAAAAAGAATAATAAGAAGAAGAACAAATACAATAGGGCCTTCGCATGATTTGTGCTCGGGCCCTAATAAAGTAAACCATGATTTGCCTGTAGTGTCTCCTTACATTGATTCACTATGGAAGAACACAAACCCACCCAGCACTTACAGGCTCTATATGCAGATAACATACAAATATGAACAGTGAAAAATGTTTCCTTCTGAAATGTACAATGCTGACATTTAACTTGGGTTGCATAACAAGATCATGCTCATTGAATTACACAAGCTCAGTCTCGTGAATAGATTGGCTTTTAAAAGATATTCTTATTCCAAGAACATATTTAACAGTATCTAATTCTGAAGTGGAAAACTTAATCAGTGCCGAATGCTATTTATTATTCCCTTCAAAACAACAAAGAAGTAGACTAATGTTCATAGGAATCTAAGTGTATGCTGTTGTAGGAATGCTAGCAAACAGCACTGTGATTGAATGTATGTGGATAAAGATGTGTCACATATACTAATAATATGTGACATATTTTATGCATAGTTTTGTGACCAAACTTTCTCCACACATTTTCTTTTATTCTTGAAGTATTCTGAGGAGTCACAGGACAATATGAAAATTTCATGTCACAATCATCCTGACCAAAATAATCTGCCAATATTATTGCAATAATCATTAACATACTTAACATTCTGAAAATGCCACAAAAACAAACTGGAATCAGTTTACCTTACATTTACATTTTATTAAGACACAAATACATAGGCATCGTATCTCCCGATCGATCTTTAGTTAGGAATGCAACCTTTTTTTGTGGGGGATACAACGGGCAAACCAAACCTTCAGCCATGGTGACAGGATTAGGATTTTAGAATCACTAGAAAGATGTGGGTTCTCCCTTCGGGAAATCAATATAGGACTGAACGTTGGTGAGCTGCACAGCTTTTTTAAGTCACTTGTAGATATTCATGATTATCCCGATATAGAATCACACCACATTATACTTATCTGGGTGCTTTTTTACCAGGATACACAGTAATATTGTATATCGTCTCATCCCCACTTCTGAGATTATAGGATGCTAATGTGTGTTGTGCTGTGCTGCACTGTAGCTTTACAGAGACGACTATAGAGGCTACAGTCTGGGGGCCTGTTGTATTCTGCCAGTGTGTTTCTGGCTTTAGTCTTGAATATTGCACTGGAGTTACTCTACTTGACAGCTTTGTTGGATCTCTGCTCTGTTTAAACCTGGAGTCCAGACTGTTTTTGCTCAATTCACATATGATAAATGTATCTTATAATATGACTGGAGAACAAACAATAAGGCACATTTATTGTGTCTGGAAGTTTTATCCGGTTTGTTGGGTCTCACCTGACCTGGTTAACAAAGCAAATACAGTCCGGCAGTGGTATGTTTCATTGTAAACACACAGCAGAGTCTTGTATAATATTCTGCCTCTTTACTTGTGTCTTTATTCTGCACAATCAAAAACCTACACCCAGCGTATCAATATAGATCAAATAAACAGACATGAATGTTTCTGACTAATCTAGTGAATTAAATACCTGACATATCATCACATTAGGACTGACAGGTCTTGGTGACGGTGATGATGAATTGGTGCCCAGATTCAAGGCAAGCTGTGCCATTTCTCCCATAGTGTTTTCCCACCAAAATTAGCTCTGGTTCTTGAACTGGTCCTGTTCAAGATTCCTGGGACCTTGGTCCTATGATTGCAAAATGGCCCACGTTTCCACCAGTTTTGAGTGGAACCATTGTTCCAGACCTCTGGTTTACCATCCATATGTACTTAATGTTCTTAATGTTCTTAAAAAGAATCAGGCCTATACTGTACATGAAAATGGGCCACGATCAATGTACTCAACTACTTTCCAGAGACTGAATTAAAACTTTAGATACGGTTCAGACTGTATAATATTATTTGTTTAAACATTTGGGGTTTAATTTGTCCTAGTTGTAAGATATCTGTCTGAGATTTCTGCCTCCACCCAATACAGTGGAGGTCAATTAGTGCTCCTTACAAAAACTACATTTAAAAGACTTCAGCAGCACATTATTTTCCAGAAACTGTCCTCTTTACTCTGTACTGAATAATCCACTGAACACAGTGTGGACATTTTTCTTCCTCAATAGAAAGTAAAATTTGACTTCCCTGACATCGGAGCACAGTTTTTGTGAAACCTGAATACAACAGAAATGTCAGTAAGTAAGAATCTGTCAGCTTATTTCCTCTGATAATGTAGCGTGCCTCTGGTCTGTGTAAGCTGTATGTTGAGCAGATTCCAGACCTGTGACCGCTCTTTCTGGATGTGTGTCCAGCAGAATCCTCTGGTTATTGGTGGCCGGTTGGAAACAAAGCCGGGGACTTAGTGCCAGGGCTGTCATGCCAGGAATGTTCCAGTCAGGGTTATGACTGTAGCATGGCGGAGGAACAGTCGTAACCCTGGCACTGATTCTACAATAAGGGGATTTTACTGGTGCAACTGCTGAGAACTTGACCATCTTGAGCCAGCTGGGGCTACCAGAATCTCCACACTTTAGACCCTGACGCAGAAAGTACTAGATGTGCTTTTATAGGGAGGTTCTGAATAAGACAATTATTGAACTGCTATATCTCATCACAAATATGCCACATCTGGCCAGCTGCTACTGGTTGAGGGGAGCTGTGTGTGGGGCCAGGCCAATACAAGCTTCTGTTGTTGTCACAAAATGTAAACTGTAAATGTAAAGCAGGAAACAAATGAATTTTGAGATGGGATAAGATGAACACATGAATAAATTAACAAAAACTGTACATTTTAAAAGACAAGATGCTAGTTAACAAATGATGCACATTAGCTAGCTATTTAGCCAGCACAGGCTGACAGACTGTAAACTGACCACCTAATTTTATAAGTAAACAAGTGAAAGGTTTGTGATGCAGATGCTTACATCTACTGCTACACTGCTACCGTTCTTTTTGTAGGTTTAAAGGGACTCTTCTGTGTCTGTTGTTGAGGTGTAAGAATGACACAGTGTTAAGCTCTGTGAGTGCAGAGTGCGGGGCAGCTCTCTTCCAGAGCATTGAGCAGAGAATATTACAGTTTCTGTACTGTGGAGCTGTATGATGACTTCTCCAGACTCCAGAGCAGCTCTGTCTGGTTTCCTGTAAACCCAAACTCCCTCAACTCCCTCAACTCCCTCAGCCTCCTTCAGCCCTGAGGCCACTTCTTCATCCCAGTCCCCTCCCCCCTTCGTTCTTCACTGCTGCCACTGAGTCACACACAGTTTCTGCTCTCTTTTCCTTTTTCATCGTCAGACTATGCATTCACCACATTGCTTCAGTTCAGCTCAGTCATGTTGCTTAAGCATTGCACATCCTCCACACTCCTAACCCCCGAGGTCTCAACAACAAACACACAATAATTTCCTGTACTGTCTTCTAGCTCTACAATTTTTGTCCAAAATGAACGTCTACCTGACACTCCTCATCACAGGCTGTGGGAATAAAGCTATGAGCAGTGTACATATAATTTCAATAGAACATTTTTTAAAAGATCTGAAGAGGATTGAACGTACTGACTGCTTCACTTGAAAAAGCCAAAGTTGGAGAAAAGTCTCAGCTAATGTGTTTATAATTAAATGTACAACAAGGAGTTATGAAACAGTCTCAGTTTAATAGTGATGCCTCTATATGAACCTACATAAACAAAAAAAGATGATTGAAAATGAGAAGATTGGATACTTCTATGTAGTTATTCCTAATGCCTGCCACCAGGTTGGATTCCCATTGAAATCTATGAAATGAGGTTGTATTTTGATCATTAATGTTTTATTTTTCTTTTAACATTTTGCACGCTCATAAATGTGCACGCGTGTTAATATAACACACTTTGATACAACCATGGTTACCATTATTCATATTATAAAGAGACAGAAGTCTGTTGGGTATGGCATTAGCAGTGTAATTAATCTGCATCTGATAGTTTTGAATTTGAAATATTCAAACTGAATATTGTATGCAATTGCAATTGAATTCACTTTTCAAATTCAGTTTCTCAAAATTGAGTCTAAACTCAGACGCACTCATCCAGGAGACTCTAGATATAAAATAGAAGACCTCTGATTCAGTCCAACTCCTTTCAAAGGACTTCTTCAGACCACAAGGATTTCTGGGTATGTAGGCCATGAGCATAGCCGTGTACTCTTTCCCATTTTATCAAGGTTAACAAAAAAAATAGAATTTTAGTTTGTGCTAGCACTGAAATGTCTCCATATACAAGTCTGCCAAAGTATTGAATTGTGAACCAGTGTAAAACAGTGAACATATTAAAGTGTTTGTGTTGTCACCCAAACCCAAAGTTTTTCACACACATTCTCTTGTTGTTTGGAGACTACAGTGCCAGCTTTTACAGTGGCTCAGACAGACAGCTGGATCTCACAAGAAAAACTAGATCTCTTGATGAAAAACAAATCAGCCTGCTATGTGTCTCTGTACTGGACACACAGGGATTAAACAGATATTGATCTTAAGTCTTAAATTCTGAGTAGGGCAGTACTGTCTCTTAGGTGTCCTCCTTTCTGCCCCCTTCTATGCATTTCTGGGGGAGGCTTTTTAATTGCCCTGCCAGCGGCTGCACCACTACAGCACTTTTAATTGTATTTGTATGGTGTTATGTATTGTTATGGGCTTTGTTGTAAAAGCAACTTTGGGTACCTTTCGAAAGGGCTATACAAATAAACTTGATTTGATTTAAGACCTTAGCCAGTTTCTGTCATGTAACATGATGTCACAGATGCGCTGATGTCCATCTCCTAGAGGCTCCTTTCTATGAATGTGGGTGTCACTTCCTGGAAATGCGCTCATCCCCCTCCTCTCTGTGTGTGTGTGTGTTGTTTCAGGTGCTGTGTAACGGCCCTGGGACCTGCGTTCCCCTGTGTGTGGCAGGACTACTGCTTGGAATTCTGGGAATGAAGAAAGTCCTGATAGTTTATGTTGAAAGCATTTGCCGGGTGCAGACGCTGTCACTCACGGGGAAGATCCTGTACCCCATATCGGACTATTTCTTTGTACAGTGGTCCCCTCTGAGGGACAAATACCCCAAGTCCATTTTCCTTGGAAGGATAGTGTGAAAATGTCTGTTACCTAAATACACAAATGTAAGATCAAATATGTTGTAATGCTCATGGATAAATACTATTTTTTATTGTTGAATTATGTTTATACGTTGTGATTTGTTGTGCAACATAGATAGGTATACTTGCAGTTACATAGAAAAACATCCATAATTGGTAAGACTATACAAAGTATTGTTGGGGGGCATCATTTCTATAGCCTGCAGGAGGTCCTTTTCAGGTCTTATCAGAATCTTAATCTCTTTGTTTTACATTTTTATTGTTAGATAACATATGAAATCTTTAAACTGTAAAACAATCAAATACAACAATCCTATCATCCATCCTATCTTTTTAAAACTAATTGCATTATTAATATGTTTGGTCAACTGTTTAAGACCAGTGTTGGGGTAATTACTGAAAAAAAGTAATCCATTACACATTACTAGTTACTTTAAAAAAAGTAATGGCTTACTTTACTTTGTTACTCGCTTAAAGTAATAGTTACACTACTTAGTTACCATTACTTTTGGACCTTACTCCGTATTGAGCAGCACCTGGAGAAAAGGCGCGCGATTCCACCGGTGGAAACAGGCAAGCATTTTCCTTCCACAATATATTGCGCGGTACAAAGCAGTATCTATCTATCCGACAATGTAATCTGATTGTAACGCGTTACCCCCAACACTGTTTAAGACTAGAAATTCTCCATAATTTTATTATAATTAATGTTAAATAATGAAATCAATGGAAAGTGCAACACCTACAGAAGTACATCAGTCAGCCAGTGATCAGAGTTTCAACTGGGACTGAAACGATCAGAGTAGCAGAGCTAACATAAGACTTGCTTTTGTGAGGACTGAACTTGAGATTTACAATGAGTAAAGCTTGGTGCAATAAGATTATAAAGGAAACCATGATTTAATCCAGATTTTAGGTTAATCCTTACACAGCAAAAACAGTCCTTCTACAAACAAAAGTATTTACTAAATATATTTGCTTGTGTTAAGCCAAACAATCTGCCAATCGGGTAAGCCAATTTTGTTAAGCTAAAATGTATAAAACGTAGAAATCTAGCTACCAAGACTGTAATGGGCCTTAAAACTAGAAAAAACGCCAGAATTTAAGCAAGTTGTGCTTATTACAGGCAATGAAAANNAAGACTTTAAATGGGTATGCTGGTCGCTTTATTGAGCTGAATTTGTACCTTAATATAAGCTTAATAATTAGCAAAAAAAAATCATCTTACAATAAGACACAATTTCTTCAAACAGCATGATAAAAATAAATTACTTTTTGTCTTAAATGAAGGCACCAGAAACATTCTTATGTCTAGCATTTATTAGCTGCTTCGTTTACAACACTGGGTTATCCGACTTTCTCTAAGTTATGCAAGTGGTCTAACTCTTAAAACAAGGAAAATAATCTTGTTCCTCTGCTGGGATATTTTGCAAACCATTGTTAGAACTTGTTACTGGTTAAATCTAGCTCAATATATGCTGTAATATATATTATTAAGACAAAGTTAGATAGATTTTCTTAAAACCAGATTACCTTTTCTAATGCAAAACATGCAACAAAATTAGATTTCCCAGAAACAAGGCTTTTCCTTCCTAAAATGGCTCTAAGTGTTCAAAAGCACAACTACAACACAGGGCATATCAAAAAGACCTCTATGTAACAAGCCTGTTTCAAACCCATTGTAGTCAAAAAATCCACAATCTCCAGTTTTAAAGAGAAAACAAAAATCAAGATGAACTCAGTGGCTTTTGTAACTTGTTTCTAAATTGAAAGGTCACTGTCAAATATTACACCCAGGTTTCGGGCTGCATGTTTGACATTTGTAGACAGGGAGCCAAGATGTTTTACACAGACTTTGGAGGAAGGTAGGAAGGAATTTCACATTTGTATTCATTTAGCCAAAGAAAGTTTTGGGACATCGAAACTGCTTTCGTGTCATACCCAACAGTGGTAATGAATATTGTACTTCTGCATGATATGTCCCAGTTGAAGCACGTACACACAGAACAACAGTGGGCCAAGGATGGGGCCTTGGGGAACCCCACAGGTCAGAGAAGCTCCCACCTACAGTGGGTGAAAATAACATTTTAATACCAAATGCAAAAAACTTTTTTTGCCCAAAACTGCATGAGATTATATTACATGGGCATGTCTGCAAAGTGGAAACGTACTTACTTACTTAATTACTGTCTTACCCATAGAACCAATTTTCATTCAGATATCTTGAAGTCTTAAGTCAAGGGATCCCTTTGAAAATGGCCATGCCAGTTTTCTATTGCCAAAATTTAGCCTATGTTTTGAGAATTATTTAGGCCCCTTCCTGAAATGGTAGCATGACATTGGTCATTGGTTGGTACAAATGGATGTTAGGTCATCTAATTTCATAGGATACCAGTATCTATACCAGTAAGGAAAATGGGGACTTGGGATGGCCAATCACATTTCCCCCCTCTGCACAATATGCCTGATGCCAACCCACTTTTCAATGCAATCCAATAGAACGAAATAGAATGATCAACTGTGCCACTTTTTACCCATTAGACTAGGTTGTTTTTGCTCAAATGAACTAACCTAACCTGCACGCCTGAGAGCATCCAGAGAGGGAGGAACCAGCGGCTGCTCTTATTGGCTGCTGTGGCTACGTCAACTATTTGACGAAATTTTTTGCAATCCGTCCCACAGACAGTTGAGTCTCTGGTCCTCCTGTGTGAACCCTCTCGGAATACTTCCCTCCTGCTCTGGCTGTTTCTGGGACCGAAGCAAACCGTGCTCGGTAGCAGTTTTTCACTGCGGACTGTGTGCTACATTGTAGCTGAGGATATCCGTGCAAAACCGACAAAATGACACATTTCAACAAGGGGCCAGCCTACGGACTGTCTGCTGAAGTGAGAAGCAAAGTAAGTGTTTTTCTGTCTCTATCTTTGTGAAAAGAAAAAGAAAAGTGAACCCAGGTTTATCTAACGCATTCGTATCAGTGTGTCTAAACAAACATCCAGTTTGCTCTCCTTCTTTCTTTCTCCCGTTGAAAAGCAACAAACCGAACTCTGCTGTACATCACAGCCGCACTTTAGCGTCCACAAAGGGATCTTCTTTTCACTGTGGTCACGTTGTGTTAAGTAAAGAAGAACAACGGGCTGCATTTGGTACAATGAACGCCCAACTTTAACTTTACACCAACAAAGGCTGAAGAAAGGAATGTGAGCCAAGGTGAACAGAGGTTTTAGTATTACGGTCTACCTGGGGGTTGGATGCAGCCAGTCCAGCCCCTATGCTTAGCTTGTCCAAACCGTATTTAGCCACCGTCTACTGACTATAGTAGGCTGTAAAGTCAATAATAGAGACATTGGGTCGATACCACCGTTTTACCTCAATGATGGGAAACAAACTTTCCTTCAGTTCCTCTTTGTTTTACAGGAGCCAGTGGCAGACTCCGCCTGTATCAGGGGCAGGGGTGGAAAAAAAAAGGAAAAGTTGTGATGCATTTATGGTGAAACTACTTAGTCAGGGTTGGAAATTTGCATCGCAGAGGGTACTTTATCTCATTTTCATCTGAAAGAGCACCATATGTGGGACTTTATCTCATTTTGTCCATTTAAGGACACCTTAGAGCAGTAGTTTTTCCTTAAGGGGCCCCTTTTCAGTCATGGAGTAAACTGACAACCCCTGTTATAATGACGTATTTTATGGATATTTCATATTATATTCAGCACATAACAATAACAGTAGAGAACAACTGATAAGCTGTACAATGAATCCACACAGTGAACACAATAACTGCAGGAAGTTTATGTAAAACAAGAGATTTGGAATTTTTCCAATATTTTTAATAACTTTTCATACCATTCTCTGTCTGTATGATGTATTTGTTGTTTTTAACAATCATACATATTGAATATGGTTCTTTTGGTCATTCCATTCATTCTGTGAAAAAGTCTAAATGAAATTGTTATTTTTAAAGTTTAGATTATTATTTAAGAACTAAACTTTCAGGGAGAAGAAAACAATGAACTTCACAGGAAATAAATCTGGTTTTACACAGACTGTTGTTATTGTGTTCACTGTTTGGGTTCATTGTAAAGTTTATCAGTTGTTCTCTACTGTTATTGTTTGCATTGAATATGATATGGAATATCCAAATATGTCAGTTAGTCAGGGATCGTCAGTTTCCTCATTGGAAGGGCACCCTAGAGCGCACTTTATCCTCTACCACAGGGGCATCGAAGAGGGCACTTTTGCAGCTGTTTTTTAAGCATGTGGTCATGAAGGAGGTAGACTGCCACCTCACACAGTCCGCCAGTGATAAGAGCACTTTTAAAATGTAGTCACGGAGTTAAAGCTGTCATGTGAACTTATTTTGATGTTAAGCACTAACTTTGAAATTGAAGTTATGGTCTGTGGAGGAGAGCTGTTTCCCAGCTGGGGCTGTGTGGCTGGCTCCTGGCATATGATACATGATTGGGGAGAACAGGGTTGGTTGTCACATTTGTTAGATCTCGCTCCATAGTGGGGGCTGTTAAAAACGTTGTTACTGAAACTTTCAGAATTAGGGTAAGAGGTCACCTACAGGGTCATTTCAGGAGAGACACTTGACATTGAGGTCAGAGGACTTTCATGTGAAAATGTAAATGTGCAGCTCTTCCATCCATTCTCATCCAGGCTTTTACACACACATCTCAAGGAACAGCGTATCTGCTTTGACTGTTAAACTGAACTTATGTGTTTGTGTGTGTAGATTGATTCATAACCATGTTACAGATGTGTGTACGTATGAAAATTCTAAAAGCATAAACAGTATGTTGTAAGTCTCTGAAAGTTGACTTTAAAGAGGAGCTCCACACTAAATTTCCTTTGACGCTGTTACACTTAATGACATAGATTCATGTTGACAAATAATACAGTTTTCCAACAATATGCAGGTGTAAAAACTGCAGTTTCTGCTCAAAACTAGCTTGTGTTTGTCTTCTTGGATGTGTTCAGCTGAATTCCCTTCCCCTCTTTTACCATGACAATGACTCTGATGTGTATTTCATAGTGTATGTAGACACATAGCAGGGCTGTAAAGCGTTATTGGCGTAGTGG